GTTCTGCCTACAAAGCAGGAAAGGCAAAGCCCCTGGTTCCCGTGGCTTTGTTAAAAAGCTCTGGCCACACCAGCCCCAGCCTGGCCCCCCCGGCAGCCCCTATATAGTGGGGTGTCCAATGACCTGTCCATCGCGGTTCTGCTCTGGCTCCTGCTCTGGGCCTTGGATAACGGCCCCAGAAAATGTCTCAATACTCAGGAAAAGTAAGTAAGGACCCAACTGCTTCCCTTTCAGCCTGGGGCCGGAGAGCCCGAGCATCCTCTGGGTGGAAGGAGCTGATGAGATAATAGAACCAGCAGACATGGTGTGAGTGGTGATCCCGGGAGCAAATTTGGTTGCAGGGATGGGGAGGGTGCGGCAGAAGGAGCTGCATTTCGGGAGCTGAATTTCCTGTTTAAACATTCCTGCTGGAAATATGTGTGAGCGAGTGTTACAGTGAGCTCATGGACACCCTTTTGCCCCCCTTCCCTGGGACCCTGTGACTCTGATCATGATAACCCCTGGATCCTCCTTCCTGCCCCAACAGGGTTGGCAGAGAGCCAGGAAAGCCCACTCTGTCCAAAACCTATATAGACCCCTGAGAATTCCTGTTCTTGCTCTTTTTTACCCCGCTCTCACATGGACACCACAGAATAAACAGAGCTATAATGGGGTAAGAGCCTCTTTTGAATACTTATCCCTCTCCTGGTATTCCTCCCCTCACAGCCTCTTATCTATTCTTTGGGGGGCTGTGTGGAGGGGGGGAAAACTACAGTAACTACAAGCGAGCACGAGGTGGTGAGAAGTGTCATGAATGCAGGACGCTCTGCGTTCCCAGAAAAACAAATACGCTTCTTAGGAAAAAATGCCAGCGGTGCCGTGCTCCTTTTGCTGGAAAGCAGCTAAAATAACCCAAACCACCCCGAAATGATGCATCTGCAGGAAATTCCCATCTGCTTGGAATGGGAGTCAGGCCATGCCCCTGCTCCTCAACGCGAGCCCTTTCTCCTCCTCCCCCCAGATCACTTTCTACGAAGGCAAATGCTTCACGGGCAGGAAGCTGGACGTCTGTGGCAGCTGCAACAGCTTCCAGGACCAAGGTTTCCTCAACAGGGTCAACTCCATCTGCGTCCAGAGTGGAGCTTGGGTCTGCTTCGACCACCCCGACTTCCGAGGGCAGCAGTACATCCTGGAGCACGGCGAGTATCCCGACTTCTACCGCTGGAACGGGCGCAGCGACCACCTGGGCTCCTGCCGGCCCGTCGGGATGGTGAGTGGGATGCTGCTGGATTGGATCTCCCAGTGGAGCAGCGTTGGGTTGAGTTTATCCTGGTCACAGGAGCCCCGTGAATAAGTGCCATAAAAATGTGTGTTCTTTACAAATAGGGTGTCCCATTGAGCAGGAAGGAGTTTCCTGGGTGGGTTTGTCCCCGTTCAGAGAGGTCTGTGCAGGCCACAAAGCTGAGACAATTCCCTGTGTACCCAGACAGGAGGAAGATGCATCTTCTTCCTCTCACAGTGAAACGTAGTGCCTTTAAGAGGATGAGATTCCTGTGGTTTTCCAGATGGGATGGCAAAGGCCTGCTGGTACCACGTGCTTTTCCTTTTAATGTAAGCTGCTGTGAGATATTCACGGGGGGATTCAGAAGGAGATTCATTGCCCAAGGCAAGTTTGAGCTGCAGCTGCTCCATCTCCCCATGCACCCAAACGGGGAGAGGGCAGCCCAAGGGCTTTCTAATCAGACCATAGGACTGCTCCTAGCAAATTTTAGTTGAATTCTCTGCTGTTGCAAACCTCTCTCTGACCCTGATAATCCTAAACTAAACCAAATAAATTCCCTTCCCCTTATCAAGCTTTTAAAAGCACCGTCCAGAGGAAGTTTTAAATGGGAAAATTAAAAAGTAGCAAAGAAAAATTAGTATGGGTTGGGTCTTTCCATTGATTCTCCTACCACTGACAGCCTCTGGGGCAATAATGAGCCCAGCTGGAGCTGGTGGGATTTCTCACTGATTTGACACAGATTTTGACACATCAGTGGGCCTATCTCAGGTCTGTAGCATCATTCCTAAAGCACCTCCATGATCCATACGTGGAGGGATGCTCTGGCCCAGGCCATGGACCCTGGCCAGCACAAGGATGTGCTCCTCCTTTCCTGGCCCAGGATTTTCCCTGTGAGATGCCAGCTTGATGAGGGCTTGGGGGCGTTTGTGCAGCGCAGATTCCCGGAGGAATGTTTGCTCGGGCACGGTGTCCCCTTGGCTGCTGCCGGCGGCTCCCTGCAGCGGGGTTTGGCATGGCAGCCCGGCCTTCCTGCGTGCTGACGTTGTTTGTTTGAAAAATGCCTTTAGGTATCCTTTGAATTTGGCTTTAAAATATCCTTTGAGCTCGCTCTGTCCAACATAGCTCTGCCACAGGCTGCAGAGATCTCCCCAGAGTAATTTGTGACACGTAGCCATCAAGGGCTCATGCAGCAACGATGATGGTGGGAAAGTTTCCTTTTCTCCCCCCTGTTTTTATTTTCCTAAAAGAAAGGCACAGTGTCTCTCACCAGGAACAGCAGCTGTGCATGAAACCAGAGGCAGTGTAAATTAGTTTAGGGGAATAGTCCAACATCTTTGTACATTCAGGATATGTTTCTTTTTTCCTGTAAGGGTGTGCAGAGCGTTGGGGCTGCAGCTGATGCTGCTTTTGGGTTGGAGGGTGTGTGGGTTGGTGGGGGGATCTGCAGATGGACGAGGGGCTGTGTGTGCCCCAGCACTGGCACCCCACGATGTGCATGTGGCCAGCATGTGGCCAGCAGCACAGGAAGGTGCAGCCAGGCACAGGTTTGAGAGATTTTTGGCTGCTCTCATGGTTGATGTGCTGGGAGGCAGCATGAGTTTGTGCGTGCTCTGTTCATGCTGGCACCAGTGGTCTTGGATTGCTCTTCACATTCCTCTTCCAAAGTACCCTTCTGTCTCCCTCTTTGTCTTATAAAAGCTGGAGAAATAATTTATTGCGCTTTTTTGGTGTTGCTGTTGACTCCAATCCCTTTGTCCCCAGCACGGCGAGCATTACAGGATCGAAATATTCGAGGGGAGCAATTTTAGGGGTCCCAGCCTGGAGCTGACAGAAGATTGCTCCTTCCTGCAGGGACAGGGCTGGGACAAGGCCTGCATCAATGCCCTCAAAGTGTACGGAGATGGCGCGTAAGTAATTCCCCGTGTCCTGGGCACTGCAGGGGACAGGGGGCTGCAGACTCTCCTCCCTCATAGAAAACCCTGTCAGCGCTGGGGACACTTGGTGAAAGCCTAAAAATGTTTGTTAAGCCTTTGGTTAAAGGTGAATGTTGGTGCCTGCCCACTGCAAGTTGCTTCAAAGGGGTCTGACTTTTGGAGGGTGGCAGCTAAGCACGAGTTACAAGAACTCTGAGACACCTTTTTAAGGTGTATGAAATGAGAAGCCTGAAAGCATCTTCTTCCTTCCTGCCTTCCTTCTGCCTTCCACACCTCTTTCAATCCACGCAGAAGCTCTCAGGGAGGTTGGATGGATGGCTCCAGGTGATGCATGTCAGGGCTTTTGCTTTGCAAGTGGCTTCACCACTTTTCCTATGATGGCAAAACTGAGGCAGCAGCACCTCCCCTTTACATTAAATCCTGCCTCTGAAAGACAGGGCTGACAGCGGTGGTGATACCCAGACTGAGGCTCAGCCCCACCCTGTGCCCCTGCAGATGTTCCTGAAGGCCTGGGCAGGATGTCAGTTTTGCCTTTTCCTTGATGTTTGGTGGCAGTTTGTATTTTCTCAATGGTGTTGGTCCTTTTTGTGTTTTTTTTTCCTCTTATTGTCAGACCAGTTGTTCTCCATCTGTCTGCCCTTTCCTCTGTCTGACAATTGTGTTTTCACTGCAAGCGTGCTGGGAGCTGGGGAGTGCCACAACACCTTCCCAGAGGCAGGCAGAGGGTGGCTGGAGGGGGCCCTGGGGCAGAGGGAAGCCCCTGCAGAGGAGGGAGCACAGATACCTCATTCTTCACCTGTCCTGGACTGGACGTTGTGCAGCTCACAGACACCAGGTGTGAGATGTTGGACCCTTTATGTCCATTTTTTTTTTCTAAGAATAGGGAAAGGTTGTTGCCATGCAAGCTCAAGACATCCTGACAGCAGCAAGTGTCCTGCAGGAGCCTTTCTGATCCAACCAAGGCCTCTCTTCTTCCAAAAATCCAGGCTTATGATTAAGCAATGGCAGTTCATTAAGGAGCAGAGCTGCCCACTCCTGATGGGAAAAATGTCTGGAGCCCACCAGGGACCCTGTTAGTGCTGAGCATTTGAGCACCAACACTACAAAGCCAAGAGGGAGCCTGTGAGTACTCTGGCAAGAGCTTCAGGGCCAATTTACTGCTTGGGTCCCTGTAGCAGAGCCTGGAGCTTGAGAAATTGGGAAGCTGCCCAGAAACTTGCAAGCAGTTGAATTTTTCAGATTGATTTTCCCCCTCACCTACGAAATATATAAGGGCACAATGCTTGCTCTCCCTCACATGGGAGTCTGGATCATTTGTGTTAACATCACAGGACTTCTCAAGGTCTATGAACAGTGAGGAAAAAGTGGAAAAAATATAAAGCATGGAGAGGACTGTGGTGAGGAAAGTCACTGAGGTTTGTAGCATTACATTCAGATCCTGGGAAGATCACTGTTGGACGTGCTTGGAAAGGTCTGTAAAGGCAATTAAATGCAGGACAATGCAGTGGGATCTGCTGTCCCGGGCTGCAGGAGGAGAGAGGGAAGGATGAGATAACACTGCAGAGTGGTGAGAGCAGGGAGAGAAAGGGACCCTATAGCACCACTTCTCTCCTTTGGATGGACCTTCTAAACCCAAATGCCTCCAGAGGTGCTGCAGGTGTAGATGATGCTGGACATAACCTGGCAAAGCTGTGCCAGGACTCATCCTTTGATGTCTGGGAGCAGAGGAGATGGGGTCAGTGGAGACAAAGGGAGTTTCAGCCACAGTCTTGCTGTGATTTTCACCCTCAATTCCCACAACGCGACATCTGTTGGATACAGAAATATTTGTTTCCATTTCAAAATCCATGGATGGTGTCATGTGCTGATAAAAAGTTGCTGCCTGCGCTTTGTGGAGGTGGTTGTGCCCGCGGGAAGTGATGATGGATCCTCTGGAAACATGGCAATGGAGACAAACATCGGCCTCTGGCATGGGGCATGGGGAGCCTGAGGGGGTCCAGCACCTTCCCTGATGCCTTCCTGGGGTGGGCAGTTGCTACCCCCCACAGCCAGAAGGGTGATGGTAAAGCTGTTTAAGGCACACTGGCAATGAATTGCTATTTTGGAGCAGTTTTGAGGTGTCACCGCCTCCTCGGGAGCTGTTGCAGGTTTGTGGTGAGTGGCTTCGCCCATCCCACGGGCAGAGCCAGCTCCAGTATCACATATGGTATCATCTGATTTTAGATGAAGATGTGTAGTTCTTGTCCTCCTTTGTGCCTCAGCCACTCCACAGAGGACAGCCTAGAAATAACAATTTTAAAGAGCTGAATTTGTTTGGCGGCCCAGGAGAGAATACCCCAAAAAGAGCTTTTCTACACTACAGTGGAATAACTTGAAGGAACCAGACCAACCATTTATTCTGCTGAAGCGTTCATGAGTGCTTGGTAGCTGTTCTGCAGTCAGGTTGTGAAATACAAAGCAGAACAGGTACCCAAATGCTGCTGCCCAATGAACATCACAAATTTCTCAGCAAAGGTGATACCTGCCCGTGGCACTGCTCAAGTCCTACATGGAGAATAAGTGACTTTGAGCTCCACTGAAAGCCTCCTGCTTAGTTCAGGCTGATGCTCCAGCATTCCCCTCCTCATTTTTCAGTTTGAGCAGCCAGTGTTGGCTTACAGAGTTTGAGTTGGTTCCATGAGCATTTTATTCCCATGTCCGCTGGGATTATGTGCTAATGAAACACAGCACTGAGATGTTTGAGGGCTGTGTGCTTTGTGCCTGGATCAGCTCTCCCATGCTGGGCTTGAGGACAAGATCATCTCTTTTATTTTTTTTTTTTTCTGGGCTCCTGACTGATTTGATTTCCCCTCTTGCTGATGGTCTCAGAGAACGTAAATTCTAGGCAATAAAGGAACAGCTAAGTAAGCCATACAGTCCTTCACTCATCACCTTACACTGCCAACACACTTCACTTCCATCTTTCTGCTATTCCTTTTATTCCTTTGGTTTTTGGGCTTTTTCAGCCTTCCCCTAAACAGAGGGACAAGCCAAGTCTGCTTCTATCTACATCAAAGCCTGTCCCATTCCCTCCATGTAATGGTGCAGACACATCAACCATGTGTCTGGAAAGAAATCTTGGTAAAGACAGTGACTGTGAGGGGCTGCTCTTCCTCCTTCTCTATTCCCCAGGGCCCACCTGTTGTTGAAAGATGTCCTAGAGCAGAAGAGCTGAAAAGAAAGAGGAGGAAAATGTTATAAATTGTTGTTAATTAAGCTGGGAATGCTTTCTGTCACTGCACACTGGGATATGTGGTGGGGGTATACTACACCCACAGATGAGCAGTGGGCAGCCTTCCCCATATGCTGCAAAGTGAGCATCAAAGCAAAAGGCTGAGGATGATTTTGTAATTCCAGTTTGGATATAAACTGGCTGCAACAAGGTCCAGAGAATGAGGGGGTTTTTTTGCAGGAACCATGTGTCAGAGATGCCACGCACAGGGCTCTGATACTACAGGATGCTCTGTCACAAAACCAAGGCACAGCATTCCATGCTGGTATCCACATGCTGGTCCTGCTCCTGCACAGAGATCTGGGAGAAGGGACCACCACAGTCCCGCCTCATGTCCTCTCAGAAACACAAAACAAATATGTCAAGGTACCCATAAGGTGCCTTGGATAAATACTCCAAAACTTTTCTTGTTTTGTTTTTTAAATAATGCCTGTGGGTGGCTGGTTTTATAAACAATTTTTCCTAAGCCTCCAGCTTTTTGCTTTGGGTTAGAGTGATCTGAGTTCACCAGCTGTTGTCTGACCCTTAAGGCCCAGCAGTCTTTGACCCCTCCAGCTCTTGATGAAATTTCTCCCTGGAAATCCCACATACAGTAGGTCCCAACCCCGATGTCCCAGCTGAATTCCTGCAAAGACAGACCACAGAAACCACATTATTTGGACTATTGCATTTCTGCTTTGCTGTCATTGCTGAGAAAATAGATGGGAAAAACAGCAGAGATCCTCATAAAATCTTAAAAAATATGGGGATGAGAGGAAAGAGGCAGAGATGAGCAGCTCAGCAATGACAGGGTGGTAACCTGACTGTAAAACTGTCAGAGCAATGGCAAAATTTGGTTAAGAAGCATGGGAGACTCACATAGAGGACAGGGGTGACACTTGTGGCCACAGTAAAATCATGTGAAGGGAGAGAAAACCAGCAGAATTGTCCTTCTTGACCATCAGAATTGCTCCTGACTTGACCTTCAAATGGAGTAAGACATTTCACAAGCCAAGGTGATGGAGAACGGTGTACCCAAGCCAGGGGAAGAAGTCAGGCATGCCAAAGTCACCAAGGTTATTGAATGTTGCATCCATTTGACTGCATTACAAGGGAAAGTTGTCATTAACTCTGGGTGTAGAGATTAAGATAACCAAACCAAGCCCTGCTCTCTGTTGGAAAGCATAAAGAGGCCATTAGGAATTATTAACAAAGAGAGAAATTACTAAATATGGTTCCCATCATCTAATGGATCAGTTCAAAGAGGCAAAACATCCATCAAGCATTGCATGTTTCTTCTTACAGTCCCTAAAAATGGGGTTTATGCAGGGGCTGAGGGGACTCATATCCTTCTTTAGCACTATCAGATGCTATTAAATTGTTTCTGTTGCACATGGTGAAGCTCAGCCACATCCATTCCTACAGTAATGTGAAGCAGGGAGCCCTTGGGCCTAGGTTTTATTGCTGGTGTAACCCAAAACATCTTCCAAGGGCAAGGTCCAGTTTGGCTTTGGGTATTTACCAGGCCACGCTGGGGGAGCACCCACAGTGAGCCCCACCAGGAGCATTTCCATGTGTGGGGTGGGAGTGGGAATGAGGCCCTGGAGGTTTGCAGTGCAGCAGTGCCTAAATGCAGCCCCTCAGAGCAGCCACTTTGCACGAGCACGGCGCTGGGGCCCAGCTGATCTCAGAGAACGTAAATTCTAGGCAATAAAGGAACAGCTAAGTAAGCCATACAGTCCTTTGCTCATCACTCCCATCTTTCTGCTATTCCTTTTGTTCCTTTGGTTTTTCCCAACCTTTGTGCCCAGGTGGGTGCTGTACGAGGAGCCCAACTACCGAGGCCGCATGTACGTGGTGGAGCGCGGCGAGTTCAGCAGCTTCGACGGGTGGCAGGCGCGCAGCGCCAGCGTCCAGTCCATCAGGAGAGTCGTCAACTACTTCTAGCTGAGCCTTCCCCCTGCCAGCCATGGCCTGCTGAGACTGAGCATCGCCCTCCTCCCCGCTCACTGACCCCTGGAATAAATTGTTAAACACCAGCTGTTGGCTCCAAGCAGGTTTTTTTTATATAACTAACATGAGTTCATGAGAGAAGAGGTTCGTAATCTTTCTAAGCTTGGTCTAAACGCCGTGAGTTTGCTTTCTTATTCTGCAGTGGTGTATAAGGAGGCCATGGGAGGATGGGCCAGAACTGGTGGTGACGCACAGATGTAGGAACATGCCTGCCATGGTGGTTGTGGTCTGACACATGTTCCTTCTGCCTCGACCAGGGCCACCATGTGATGGCCTCAGCTGACTCCGAGTGCCTGGAGGAGGTCATGTGGATGCACAGACACAGAGCCATTGGGAGCCATGTGAGGACAAACGTGAGGATCACAGCAGGAGCTGAGCGACTTGTGGGGTCTGCCTGAGCATGACATGGTGGTCTTGATAACAAGGTGAAAGCAACCACTCATCCTGAGTTACTTTAACTTTAGATCAGTACACATTAAAAATATATATTAAAAAAACCCCAAGGCTGAAGGCATAAAACCTGAGCAACCTTCTCTTTGTTCCCCACCCTTCATGGCAAAGACATTTTGAGGGATCAGCAGCAAGGGAAAACAGCCACTGCACTGCCATTTATTTCACAACCCCCTTCCCAACTTTCTGCCCCTTCAGTTGTTTCAGTGTCCCTGAACCCCATTCCATGGTTGGCAATTGGGATGGGAAACACTCTGCCCCTTCACTTTGGACTGTCCACTGCAGCCTGGGCACTTCCCCTGGCATGCAGCCCCCAACAGTGCAGCAGCCTCCCTTCTGTAAAATCACAAGCTGTGTTCAGCATTAGCTAGGGTGTTTCTGGCTGTTTCAGAAAGGGGCAATTTTATTCTCTTCACTCTGTTACTCTATTAGCTGTTAAGCCTTGGCTGTCTGATAGATCCTGACAGGCGCAGGCATGGTGCCGGCAGAGCTGCAAAGCTCTGTGTTAATCCAGGGGAAAGGCTGCTGAGCTAACCCCAGCCCCAGCCCTCTGAAGGGACGTGAGTGAGGCTGACAGGTCCCCAGCACACTGGAGGTGAGGCGTGGGTGCCCTCGGGGCTGCCATGGGAATCTGTCCTTCCCTGAGCGATGGGAAGGAGCAGGACTGTGCTCTGTGCCAGGGGCTGGTTGGTCCCGTGCTGCATCCCAGTCTGACACTGGATCTCACTTCCAATCCCACCAACTCACACTCACCCACCTGGATCTTGGCTCCCTGTGGCTCTCTACCAGTACCAGGACTGGTGTAACTGGTACCAGCTGGGCCTGTGTGAGGACATGTGCTGTTCCTGCGATGAAGTGACACCGTTGGTACAGTTGCATCAATTGAGATTTGCCCCAGCTGCACATATGCTGTATATGCGTTATGAAGGGGTATGGAAATGCAAAAAAAAAAATTCCATCTTGTGAATTTAACAGCAGTTTGGGTGATGTCTGCTTTAGCAGTGATACAGACAATCACGTCCTCTTGTAGACAGCCTGTTGTCTGGATGTATCCTCCATGCAAATCATCACAGCAGCACTTACAGTTACACCAGCTCAGCTCTGGACTTCAGTGGCCATGTCCTGGGTGGCTTGTGGTGACATGGTCCATTAGAGCTGTAAAAATATTTAAGATCTTTAATGGGTTGTAAGGTATTTCTGTGTCAGAGAAGGCAGGGGAATGATTCATTCATTGAGTGGGATGCACAAATGTACAACTCGTGCATCAACTCTTGCGTATTTCATTTTCTTTTAATTAGATGCAGTTTATGAAAGATTTTAGGAGTCCTTCCAGGATTAGCGTTGCTCTTGCCTCATGAAGGCTGTAATCGGCTCCTGAGCAAAATGCACTCTATTAAAAGTTAATATTCAGTCATATGCAGTGCTCTTTGTTGTGACCTCGTGGACATTAATCTGTTAAAAGAAACCCCAAAGTGGTCCCAGAGAAAGACAAGCATCGAATTGTGATGAGCTTTAATGGAGGCTTTTCATTCATTTGAAACACATTCAATGTCACAGTGCAGCATGAAGGATAAAGAAACAAAGGCTTTAAAATGTACAATAACTAAAGTCCCAGATGCTCCAAGTATCTGGGGGACAAAAGAAAAGAAAACAGAGAACAACCATCCACCCACATTCCCCTGGGAACAACAGCATAAGCCCAGACACCCCCACATCTGGGTTTCTCAGCACTCAGTGACACAGCCAGGGGAGGTGACTGTCCCCCTGATGTTGGGGTCAGAGCTGTGACATCACAGACACTCTGCTCTATGGCTCCCAGTGGTCAGTGGTTCAACTCCCCTGCGTGCAGAGCAGCATCAGAGGGACCCACTGACATCCCTGCCCGTCCTCTGTGGCAGTGTGGGACTGTGCACGTACACACAGCTGTACAGGCTGACTCCAGCATCCAGCCACTGTGTGCAAGCCCACTTCATCTATACACTTCAAACTAATTATTTGTTTATATGCTCTAGTAGCTTAATATTTGCTGCTTAAATTGTGGAAGTACACTTAGGATCCCAGTCCTGGACTGAGCCATGCCTTGTGCTAGGAGTTAAAAGCACAAAAACACACCTGGTTAATCTGTGCTGTTGTGTGCAACCCTGTTTGTAACCAGCGAGCGTTTAGCTACCTATAGCACACTTTACACAAGTTTGTAATATGCCTACAGGGTAAACACTCATCATTTACTAACATCTGATATCCCATTTATGAGCACACTCTCAATGCAAAGAGCTGGTCCCATGTGAAGGCTATTAAAAAAATTCCTCTGTGTGCACAAGCCTAATCTCACTAAAAACTGGCAGCAGGGAATTGAATTCCTTCTATTTTTTGCTTATTTGAAAGCTAAGTAGGGTGGCCATGGGCCTAATCCAAACAGTGATGCTGCAGGAACATGCATTGCGTTGGCAGTGGGGGGACGTGGCTCTCGTTCTCTTCCTTTTCCCTCCCCCTCCTTGCTAAATCTGCACTTGTTCAAAGGACAGAATGTACAGATCCCATATGCTTGCTAGTGGCTCGTTGGTGGTTTTTTCCCCCTAAAAAAAAAGAGATTATTGACATTGCTCTAGTATGAAATGGTATGATTTGTGAGTTTATAGCGTATAAAAGATAAATGACAAAAATGCCAGCTCGATGTGAAGTGGATGTGAGATTGTGCAGCAGAGGTTTGAGCTGCACATCGTTAAACTGTATGGCTGAATGAGCTCTGCTACGTGAACCGAGGAGGCAAGCCATGGATTAAGGAAATTGGAAACTGTTCCACCAAATGCTGAAGATGAAACAAAGACTCAAAATGAACAAAAGGGACAAGTTATTAATTACAAGAGAGAGAACTAAATGAAATCAGCTCCATCTGGAAAACCAGGAAAACCCTAATAATCAGCGTTACTGTGCTTGGCTAAGCTGCTGCAGTGTAATATTCAGGATAACTTTGAATTACATCTGGCCCCAAAGCAAATAGCTCCTGCCAGAATGCCTGCACACACAAACGTCCTTTCTTTGTAGCTGGATAATGTGCAAATGTGATGGGATATCTCTTTCAAATGAATCCTTGGAAGATATCTGAGGAAGTGCAGTGCTTTTGCCTTGCTATACTACTTGGTACATGTACATATAGTGAAGGTAAGGAGGAAAGTGCCTACTGATCCACGGCTGGCATGTGTGGTGTTGTCATGTTCAAATGAATCTCTCCTCACTGCTTACAGAGGTGAAAGGGCTGCACAGCCACCTCCCTTCCCTGTGGAATCTAAGAGGTGTTATCCTGCTATCCAGGCTGCCCCACGCTCACACCTTCCCGTGCTTTTTTCTCTCCTCCTCCAGAGACACCTCTCTGGACCTGGTAGAAATGAATTCACTCCTTGGTGCCTGCTAGAGCTGTTTTATTACTTCTTCAAGTAGAAAGTCTGGCTCAACAGTGACCTCTTTGACTGAGTGCAGAAAGGAAATGAAGAGCTTCAAAAGGTCTCTCCAAAGTCTGGCACCAGGAGGAGACCCCTGGTCATTGTTAAAGCCTAAGTGATGGCAGGGTAAAAATGTAGAGAGAACACAGTGACTGGGCTCTGGAAGAGGTTGCCCAGAGAAGTTGTGGAGGCTCTTTCCCTGGAGATATTCAAAGGCTCTTTGGACACAGTCCTGAATAATGTGTGCCAGAGGACCCTGCTTGAGCAGGAGGGCTGGACCAGATGAACCTTCAGTGATTCCTTCCAAGCTCACCCATTCTGTGATTCTATGATACTCAGGACCATTGACAGATTTTCTGGCTCCCATGCTTCATCTAGTTTGGATGTAATTTTCTTTTCTTTACACATTTTCTTCAATCTTGTATTGAAGCCAAAGGAAAATCAACTCGGGTGAAAACACATTGAAATTTTTACTACCCATGTCCAGGAGTAAATCTGCTATGGTTAAGAAGATCTGAACCAGATAATATCTGTGTAATGTGATCAGCATCATTAACATTGCAAATGGTGATTTTTCGGGGGTGTTTAAATTTTAAATAATCTGGTTTATTGCAGAGGTGAAACTCAGTTAAATCAACTTTCAATGGTTGAGGCTCCTGTAGCTTGGTGTCCTTTTTTTCTTCCAAGAGTCACCTTTCAATCAGCAGAGGAGGTGAAATAACATCCCACACAATTTGAGCTGTTCCCCCATTTACTGGTGGCTGTGACAGAAACCAAACACACATGGAAAAGAGTGGAAAATGACGGAAATAAAACAAATATTAATTTTCCATGGAGCAATGGGAGCACTGAAGAAAGAGCAAGTGGTGTACCAGGTTTTCCATGGGCAGCTGACCATCTTTACATGATTCAGAATGAGACAGTTTGTAATCAAGTCAAGCTGTCCTGGTTCAAGCATGCAAACATATGGAGGAATGTACCAGTGTATTCAGTCAAATTGCCCGTGAAGTAAACATGAAATCGTACAGAAATTGTTAATGTAAATTCCTGCTTTGAATATGCTGATCTCTAGTGGATTGCAGTAAATCCACGTCCTGTAGGCATTTGCACCTGCACTCACACAGTCCAAAAAGCACTGAATGCTGCCTCTCAGCCAGAATGCTTTCATGTGCTCCTGCTAGGGAGTTTGGGATGGTGAAGGATCAGTCCCTGCTATTCCATGGAAAAAAATGCAATTTTAAAAATATTTGGTTAACTCATTGTAGCAGTTCTGTTATGCTGCCACTCAGTTTGTTTAGCCTGATATAAACTAAGCTCTTGTCTCATGTAAGTATTTACTGGTGGCCATCAGTGCTGCTCCTCATCTGTGATGGGGTAAGCAAGCAGTGCAACTCCTTCTCTGAAAGACACCACACCGGGCAAGGCTCATGGTCAGCACAGGTTTGTTCATGTTTTGGGAGAGATGCTTTTAAGCTTTGACATTGCTGCCCTGGGATCCTGGTGGTGAGGAGGTGGGTGAATGATCCTGACTCATAGATGGGCAAAACTCTGTGGTTTCAGCTGACCTTACCCTTTTTTTTTTTTTTTTTTTTTTTGTGCTGTTAGAAACCAAGAGCTTAGAGAGAAATAGCAAAAAACTGTTAATGTGGCAGACCTCTTCCTTGCATGCTTTGCTGAAGGTGGCCACCACTAAAAGCAGTCCCTTACATGCACATGAACCAGTGCTACAGAAGCCAAAAGGCACCTGCACACAAAAACACACCGAACACTATGAGCCTCCTTAAGTTCTGCAGGGCAGGCTGTACAGGAATTCTGCTCTTAAATCAAGTTTTCAGGAAGACAAAGCACAGTGTGGCCCACTCCACACACAGAGCTGACCTGCTAAACTCTGTGAGTGCAACAGCTGCTCCAGCAATGTAAGTGGGAATCAAAACTGCTGAGATTTGCAATACTTTGTGTGGTTGTCTTTGGTTTTCTTGGCTGGTAATGCAAGAAGAAAACAATAACACTTGAGTCATATGAACCAATAATAATAATAGTAATAACAATAATAATAATAATAGGATTTCAAAGGTTTTATTTTCTGTGAGTCTTGCTGTTATTGACTTGCCCTTCAAAATGATTCTTCTGAAAATAATAGAGCCTCTTTTTTTTTCACTGAGTGTTGGGGCCAGATTAATTTGTCATGTCCCTTCTAAAAAGAGAGGAAAAAACCCAGGCAAGTGCAATTTTGACTTCTGGAATTTATCATTTGTGTTCAGGTCTCTCTATAGAGTTGACAATTAGCCTTTCAAAGGTTTGAGACGTCTCTTCTTAGAACTTATTAATAAATGATATTTAATAGTCAGCTTCCTTGACAATTAAACACCGCACACCCCATCAGAACCAGGGGCTTCCACAACACTGGAAATACTTCTGTTTATATTGAATAATTCTTCTTTTCAGCTGCATTAGACAATACAGGTTTGGAAACACACAAAAAAAAAATTCTGGTAGGAATCCAAAATTTCTGTAACAACCCCCCAGGCCTGGGATTTGTCTAATAGCTTGCTGTTAAAGGGTTCTTTGGCTGGAAAGAAGTACCAGACAGAGTTTCCCTTGTTCTAGTTCTTTGTTTATTTTTTTTCCTTTTTCTTTTAATTTGGTATTTGACTCCTCAGCACAAACCTGCCATCAAGATGATGGAAGCTCCAGGGGAGGACAGAGGTTACCAGCTTCTCAAAGCTTGCACTGATTTATTGCAGGAGTTTTTCCTTCCCCAACCTCCCAAGTAAGACAGAATAACAATAGTATGAATAATAATAACAACAATAATAAAAACATTCTAATCAGTGATTTTTCCATTAAGGTTCAAATCACCTCTTGAAAGACACAGTGGAGCATTTGTGTGGAAAAGACCCAAAGCTGTGTCAGGAGCTGTCACTCCCAGCCCTTTGGTGTTCTTGCTGGGCGCAGCAGCGATGGGGACGCTCCGATTTCCCGGCAGCACAGGGTGATTACCCAGCACTGAGGGCACTCAGTGCAATTAGTGGGAATTAGGACAGGCCCAGAGCTGTGCCTTGGCTCCTGCAGCCTGTCCCAGAGGGACACCGGCTGCTTTAGGAGCCTGGTGCAGAACTGGCTCATCAAGCAAGCCAGAGAGTTCAATCACATTTATTTAGCATGACTGCACCAATTTACCGCAGCTGAATAGCTGGCCCACAGCGTGCACATGTTCCTAGGTGGTTAAAAGTCACTCTTCACATTTCCCTTCCCGTTCAAGTGCTCCAAGGCTGCATATTTCAGTAGTGCCTCTGGAAAGTAGCTATTGTTT